GGGGGGGGGGTGTTGTTATGGTGGCATACACCATGATGGTGCAACTGTTTTTTTTAGGTTTGTTGGTCTGGGCCCATTTCATTCCGACATGGGGGTCCATTCTTCTTTCCCCCCATTTGTCGCTCTGGGCATGCCGCCTGTGTCGGTTGCTTTCTCACCGTGGTGGAGATTTGTCAGGTCTGTTGTCTACGGCATGCACAACACAGGCCCGTTTCATCCAGGTGTGTGACATGGAGCCAAATTGTGCTTTCGTTTTTTTTTCCTTCCATTTCTTGCCTAAGAATGCCACGGAAGTGCCGATTGGTTTTCTTACCACACACACTTTTGCATGCACAAACACAAACACAGACCCCACAGCCAGACCACCCAGCCCACATAGTATCACAGAGCCCACATACTCTAGCGCAGCTATTTTATGGTGTGCCAATGGTTCCAATAGCATGGCACGGCTTTGCGAAAAATGTCCTGGGCTCTCAGTTCACAGTAGTTATTTAAACTTATTTTTCAAATTGGCAGTAAGAATTTTTGAATTCGACATAGTGCCAGTCCATTGTGTCGAACGGAAGTTGTCCTTCGTGCAGGAGCTCCCAAACTTCCCAACCCAACCCAGTCCATTTAGCAACCTGCATGAAGTATTTTCACTTGGTAGTAGCAGCGCTCACTGTAGCACCATGTGACAAGCAGGAGCACACTCTGCATGGTAGAACCATCTTCTGTTTCTGCGACAGAGTAATCTTCACGTAGTGGTCCATCGAAGCAACAACAAACCTCTCTCTCTCTCTCTCTGTCTGTGTGTTTGTGATGCCCGTGCCGTGACACCTGTACAATACTACACAGCAGCGCTCACTGTGGCACCATGTGACAAGCAGGAGCACACTTTGCATGGTAGAACCATCTTCTGTTTCTGCTACAGAGTAATCTTCACGTAGTGGTCCATCGAAGCAACAACAAACCTCCCTCTCTCTCTCTCTCTCTCTCGTTCTCTCTGTCTGTGTGTTCGTGATGCCCGTGCCGTGACACCTGTACAATACTACACAGTCCACAGAGGTACAGTCCAATTGATGATCTACAGTGGTGGACGACCATAGAGTCTAAATCTACAATGAAGGTGTGTCCATAATGGCAACAGCCAACCAACGATGTGTAGCATTGCAAGGGTTTTAGAGGAAGAAGGTAGGGGGGAGACGACCAAGGCACGTGGAGGTGACAGGTTCAACGTGCAACTGAGTGCTGAGGATGTGAACTGGATCACTCATCAGCTTGAAGATCATCCTGAGATGACCACTTGCAAGTTACATGACCGTCTGAATTAGGCGCATTTGATGGCCACGTGAGACCGTCTATTTAGTATTTACATACGTTTTTTTTCTTAATTTCCGTTGTTTTTTACCCAGGAAATTGGTTCAGGGTTGTAGGGAAACTGAGAATTCAAGTGGATTTGGGAGTTTGGGAGTAAAATTTTTGACTTTTGACATGAATTGGAAATATTTTGTACGTGAACATCAGCTTGTTCAGTGAAATTTACAATTCATGTCTGTGAAAACCGATTGGCTTTCCACGAAGTTGCTCATTCAAACTCTTCAAAAATTTTCAACGTACATAAATTTGCTCGGTCAGAGTAATACCACCCACATAGCACCCACTTGGCCCGCTTGGCACCATCCAGCCCCGGAACTAACACCAACCCCATGTAGAACCATCCCGCCCTCATAGTAGTACCCACCCCACATAGTATAACCTGCTCCACATAGTAGCACCCAGCCTACATAGGGCTAGCTAGCACACAGCCTGCATAATACCACCCAGCGAAGATACCCATCAGCCCACAGCACCACCAAGTTCACATAATCGCCAGCCCGCATAACACCCAAGATGGACAACGAACTTCAGAGAGAGGGATGGGTAATTACTAATTAGTTAGTTACTAATTAGTCAGCTGAATCAAAACATGGTTACCGAAGTGTAAAACTTATAAAAAGGGGTATGAATAGAGAGAAAAGCTCTGAAGAAGTACCTTTTCAAGAATCAAACTGGAGCGCTCGACATTGCCAATGAGACTGATGATCGACTTCTTCTGTGAGAGTTTGACAAATGCGATCTTGCGCAGTTGTTCCACCACTCGGTCAAGCTCCTGCAGAGACCAGCAAGGCAGAACACAGAAAGACCAAACTTTTCACGACTTTGCAAACATAGGCAGGCCATCAGAGATATCAAAACACTCAGCCTCACTCACACACCTCATATTATCCTCAAGGTACCACCATCTTCACACGAATAGAACGCCCGGTATTAGTGCCAACTTTCAGTCCAGATACAGCTATAATAACCCGGCATTATATTCAGGTGAAGATGATAGCTCTCAAGTTCTCAACTTGCGGTATCACTGCGCACCCATTATTAGACTTCTAATGCGATGTCCTGAACCCCCTTCACTTATAATGACTCGCGTTCTCAGTGTCATGGTGGTGAATCCGGTGATTTATGCAGATGATGATTTACACAAGTGAATGCTTTTCGGTCTTCCCAGGTTTTGGAATACGAGTTGCTTGGACCTCTTATATCAAGCTGAGCTCATCGGGCTATTCCGAAGACAAAGTTTGCGACAAGGAACTGCAGCACGCCTGCAGATTAAACCAAACATCATATCAAATAAATGAGATAAATATTAAATATAGGTAGGTAACCATAGGTTCAAAATCTTTTTTTGAGAGTGAAATAGACTGCATTTGGAATGTTGATTATTTGTTAACAGTTTATATAATATATATGCTAATACTAGCCTAACAATTTAATGCAGATCAAAGGAAACAAGCGTTGCTGGAATGCGCGTCGAAAAGCACCTGGGAAAGACTGTGTTCGTCGGCAGGTGAGCGACGTTTCCCGGCCATTTTGCGATGACGCGGTCGGCACACACCGCGTCTGCCGGGATGTACCAGCCTGGTGGGCTCCAAAATATACATTCAGGCCAACGACATCGCGTGCACGATGTGTTTTGCCTGGATGTATGTTTTGCAGCTCGCCAGGCCGGTGCATCCCGGGAGACGCAGTGTGTGCACGGCCACATCAGGGCAAAATGACTGGGAAACATACTGGTGGTTTAAGAAGAGGCACAAATTGACCTGCCACTGCAGTAACAAAATAGACCAGACCATGCCCGAAAGCCGCCGAAACTCGCCCTTTTTTAATTAAGACAAAAAATAAAATAAAATGTGGAAGCACAAATCCTCAAATTTCAGCGAAAATTTCAAGGCATGGACACAGTGGGCCCCGCCAAGTGCTCATGTGATTGGGAGCGGTACTGGACAGAGCAGTTCTACTCTTCCCTTCCACTGACATTTTTCTTTACTTGAAGGCTGATGGCCATATGTATCATCTTCAGAGTCCAGACTGACCAGCCCCAGGTAAAACTAGAGTTATTTACTCGTTTGAGGTTATTGGGATTTGAACCCAGGTCTGTATTTCAATAGTTCATGCGTGTGCCAGCTGAGCTAGACCCGTTTGTTGGATACTGTAGAGTAATAAACTCCAAGCTTCCGTATTGTGAGCGTTAGTTCCAGGAAACGGAGACTAGTCGGGTTCACGCTCCCCACATCTAGTGTACAGTACTCTAGAGGAGAGCCAAGTGTCTTATACTATGGACTACCCTAGAGTGTTTGTAGAATGCTGTGGCGTGAGAGTAAACTGCAAGGTCCCATTCTGCAAACTGCAGGGTTGGGGCGGGGGGGGGGGGGGGGGGGGGGGAGGGACTTCAAAAGAGGCATCAACAAGGTTTGTACACATGACAGTCCGGGGAAAAAAAAGGGAAAAAAACAAACAAAAAAAAAACACCCTTCAGAAAAGCCATCAACGAGGTCAATACAGTACTATGGACTACTCTCGGGCATTTTAGAGTACTGTGGAGCACTCGTTGAAAAAAAAAAAAAAAAAAAAAAAAAACTCGAGGGTTTCTCAAGGCATACACCATTCAAATTCACAAATCCCATTGGTTGAAAGGAATCACAAACCTTTTGGCTTCCTGAGCTTTCTTTTTTTTTTTTTTTTTTTTTTTTTGCAATTTGGACCACTTGTCGATTTATGCGTGTCATCCTTTCACAGGGGCCATGCTAATCTTCTCTTTCTCTGTATCATTCCAATTTTAGCGGTTGTTCGAAAGGACTCCCCGAGCATTCTTTAAATTTTATTTCAGATAAATTTCATTTAAGATAAATTTCATTCAAGATACATTTCATTTAAGATAAATTTCATTCAAGATACATTTCATTTAAGATAAATTTCATTTAAGATAAATTTCATTTTTAAGATAAACTTCATTTACCTGAACCCCCTCCAATCCGGACAACATAGCAGAAACACAAAGTGAAACCAAGGGAGGGGGAGGTGCAGTGAAATAGACCACGCCACTTCTGGATGATGACATCCCAGTTCAATTTACCTGTTGAATGAGTTCCCGAGTCCACATTCTTGCAGGATCTAAAGTCAGCGACACACTGACTTCGCTTGTGGCCACACAGTCCACCGATATCCCCATGTCTTCAAATATGGAGAACACCTGCCAAATAGGTCCCAGTGCAGATTGTTTGTGCCAAAAAGCAACTCATAGTCAGTCACCCCCCTGGATGTACCTGGTCTCAAGCAAAGTCCACATACATCCAGGGGGTCCATCGTTTTAAGAATGCTGGACCCTCGAGAGCAGCAAATTTTGACGAGTTTTCGGCCAAAAAACTCGGTTTCAATTTCGTTCAAAAAATAAAAAATGTCCATTTTGACAAAATGGCAGATATTGCGAGGAAAAGGAAAGATAAAAATCCAAGGGAGGACATAGCATCCATCTCTCTCTCTCTCTCTCTCTCTCTCTCTCTCTCTCTCTCTCTCTCTCTCTCTCTCTCTCTCTCTCTCTCTCTCCCAGTTAGGTCATCGTGAGGAAAAGGAAGGAAAAATAGGCCCCGTACTGCAATCTCTTTGTGCAAAGCATCCAAGGGAGGGCATAGCATCTCCCGAGCCCCCATTGCGTTAAGCAAGGACTCAGTATCTGGCATGTAGAGTGTTTCCTCCCACGATGGTTAAATCAGGACGGTGAAATACGGCAACGAGTTCTGTGGTCAATGCCAGGTCACCTCTCACATGCTGCAACCCCCAATCATAAACAGCTTTTACTACCATAGCCGAGGTAAGCATAAAACTGTATGTATAGCAATTACCCTAGGCAGCCAAAAGGTATATCAAACTCCATCTTTGCTTCAGGGAAAGCCGGAGGGGTGATAGAGGAGACGTAAAAGAGGGAAGGGGGGGGGCAACACCTAAAGAACCACAACCATCGGACAAGACCCGTCCAGCCTAACCGAGTTTTGGGATCTCAGGTACAGAGCCATCCTCTGGCAGTGAGGGAGAGTCTGGAGTTGGTATAGGTGGACGGACGGACGGCTGAGTGGCTGTGTGTATGTGAATGGTTGGGTGAACCTGGCAGATGGTAATACCCATGGAGTGAAAGCATACTTGCAAGCGGACGCCGTACGGGTGGTTTCACGTGGACGCCGTACGGGTGGTTCCACACGTGAGGAAGACCGCCGGACCGGACCCACGCGGCGCACGAATGTGCACCCGACGACCAGTTACGCCCCACCTCCTCAAAAAAAAAAAAAACGGCCCCGTCCAGTCCGGTCCGGGTCCGTCCGGTCCGGGGGGAGGGTGCTGCACGCTGCAAAGCGGAACAGACCAGACGCTCGTCCGCTCCGTCTGCTTGCAAGTGTGAGTGAAAGAGATGAGAGGACTCTATCAGTTCCAGTTGACAGAGAAAGGTATGCTGACAAGAAAGCCCGTATCAGATAGGCAGAGGTGCAGCCGTGGTCGTAGCCCCTTCATCCGCATAGCAGAAAAAAGCCACCAAGGATGTGCATCATGCTCTCATGCTTGTGTGCGCCTGTGTGCGTCTCTGTGCACGGATGCAAGCATATGCATGTGCATGCAGAAGTTCAAGCAGCCATAAAATGGGTGGCTAAGGATCTCTGCAGAAATTGCGTAGCATAAGGTTAAACTTTCAAAGTAATAAGGTAGGTAACCCTTCATTCACTGATGTGCCTAGGGATGCTTTCAGTTGTGCCATTTTCATGGAAAGAACGAAAGTTGAAACAGAATAAACGTGAAGCGAAAAGACGGCCATCACTGTCCATGCTGCGTACCACATTACCCTGATATCCTGGAAGAGCGTGCTGGTAGACTCTTCCTCACAACTGCGAGTCGTCAGACAGATCTTTCAGCTAGGAATCGGCCGAACTTGAACTTCTTTCCAAGCGCAGCACTCAAACAAACTGAACCGAAGACGAAATCTTGAAAATGATGGTAGAAAGCGTTACACCAAAAGCTTGCATTGAAGAATCGCACCAGCATACTTGATAAAAGGAAAAAACAAAGGTGATGCCCACTTGGGTGGCAGGCTGCACTGAGCAGCTTACCACAAACAGCACTCAAAACCGCACAGTGTAGAGCCGGAACACACTGGCTATGGTTGCACTCAGACTCTCTCCTTCAGCTGCCAAGATTAGCACTGCTCCTTGTCACCGTCGCAAAGATCATAAACTGCAGCTGAATGAATCCTTCTCCTAGCTCGTCACTTTGTGTTGTTGCTTTGCCTGGTCCTGCAGGGTCCTCGCGCGCTCTGGCCTAAAGAATTGTCGATGTCTAGCTCCTAACAGGGTCCTATTTGTCTAAGAGCATGCTTCGAGGTCCCAGGTCTAAATCTGACTGCCAGCAAACTTGAAAAGCAAAAAAAAAAAAAGAGGAACTTATTCTTGCTTCACAATTTGGTCAGGTCTCGGGTTCAAATCCCCCAGCACTTTCCCAACTTCGTTGGATAGTAATAATTTGATAAACAATCAAAATTTGGACTGCAGGCAACGGATACACCTTGGCTGGCAGCCGGGTGCACGCAGGGTAGCTGGGCAAGGTACTGGTGATCTATCCACTCGGCCACTACTCCACTCAACAACCTCCATACATGCAGAACATTGAATAGAAGCCTGACAGCAAGATAGCACCAACTCCAACTCTGACCGTCTTCCACTCAATAGAACGTACGGTCATTATTGCTGTGCCTAGACTGAAAGTCAGCCCAAATGCAGCTATAATGACCATTTGTTGTATTTGGGTGAAGACGGCAGAGGGTACACCAATAGGCTATTGTACCACAGCACTAGTGACAAACGAGTTCAAACTTCAAACCAGGCAATTATAATTCATAACATATCGAAATAATCCACCAATAAACCATCACGCAGAGAGGCATTGATCACCCGATTCACCTCCTACTAAAGCAGTTTGCCAGGACGTCAGTGCCCCTGGAAAAAATGTTCCTGTATGCGTGCATCGTCTGATGCAAACATCCAGCTCCATTCACTCAGCAGCACTGGGGTCGTGTTACTCCCGAAAGTGCGGCCGTGCATGGGCTGGGACACGCTAGAACGAACGGGCCCGCCGCGCCATGCTAAATCCATTCGAGACAAACCATCACGGCACTGTAGCAACGACTGGAGCATTGACGGCCGCTCTTTTCGGAAGTACCAGTCGTTCAACAAGGAGCATCAGAGTCTTTCACACCAAATTACACGACAGCATTCACATTGTGACAAGCAGAGAGTCATGCCATGCCTAAGCCAGCCATTGATTGGGAAAAGGGAGGAGGAAGGAATTCGGGCAACAGGAGGCAACAGGGACCAGGTGAGACGTACCTTAGCGAGGAAACCAAATTGTCCAAGCATCCGAGTGCTGACAATATCCAGCATTGTTACATGTGGCTTCAAAACAATGCTGGTCAGCAGTGCCTGTGAAGGTCGTTCGGCCAGACACAGGTCAGTAGGCTCAAAAGCCGGCTCTGGAACCCCCTCCTCTTCCCATTGGTTCTGGAGGCGAACAAAGTTCTACTCGCAGACCACACCAAGAAAAAGAGAAACCAAAATACCGGAGGAAAAAAAAAAACCAAGCAAATGAACAGCCGCAGCAGGGGAAAAACCCATGCATCACGAACATTCATCGCAACTTCCTCCTAACATATCCACATCGACGATGACAAGCTGATAACCATACACTGACATCAATCCAATTTACAACGGAGACAAGCAACAGTGATTCAGCGAAACAAACACCCGGCAAGCAAATGATGCATTGAGATTTGAAAATGAACTTCCAGCCGGCCACGAACAACAGCACACCACCCATAACACAACTGACTGAATAATTGGACATTTCAATAATTGGAATTCGAATAATTGGAAATTTGAATAATTCAATTAAAATTGGAAATTTGAATCATCATCGAGACAGGCCACCCATTGAGCAATCATCAACCAGCTTTGCTGAAAGAAATGAAGGAAAAGAAGTGTCCAGTAAATCCTTTGGAGTTGCCACTTGCAACGGCAGGGCTTTGCTTCCGACCGTAGCCCACATTTCTGTCATCCATTGTCAAGTCAAAAGTCACCCCAACATTTTTATGACATGCAAGTCCAGGAGATCTGCTCTACGCCAGTTGGTGGTTATGTGTGAGTCCGTGTGACCAAACGTGTTGGCAGGCCGCCAGTCTCTACCCTGTCTACAGTCATTTGAGGATTCATTAAAACCCAAACGTCTAGGTGCAACAATGACTGCATCAGACCGGAAAGATAGCTTGTATACATTCACGATTAGGGGGTGTTGTATTCAGGGGAAACCCAAACGTCGGTGCTGCAGCAGGTTGACATCTCTAGGACAGAAATCAAACTCTTGGAAAAGGACGAGAGAGAAGAATGTCACATAATTGTGCATGGAAAAAGACGAGAGAAGAATTTCACATAATTGTGCATGGAAAAAAAAAAGACGAGAGAAGGATTTCACATAATTGTGCATGGGAAAAAGACGAGAGAATAATTTCACATAACTGTGCATTCACGACAGAAGAACCAGCAGCAGCCATACATCCTCCTTGAATCTAAATTCTTCTTCTCAGTTTTTTTTTGTTGTTGTTTTTGTTTGGAGGACAGCCGTAACAGTACTGTATGGCCCTCGCTGCACTACTCTTGAAATGCACAAAAGACAAAAATCATGGTCATGTATCTTTCGATATTCTAGCGGAAGATTCACTCTCGTTTTCCACATTTCGAGAGTAGTGCAGCGAGGCCCTATATATATCTGATTTCATGTCATTTCATGAAGGAAGAAAGCGAAGTCGTGATCTGTTCATGCCATTTCATGAAGGAAGAAAGAGAAGATTTTACATATGCGCCATTCTGCCACATAGGGCTAGGTATCGCCACCTGGATTTTCTCTCAGGCTAGTCGAGCTAGACGATGCAAGGCTTAAACAAAATAGGCATATCAGCAAAATAACCAGTTCCAAGTCCACCCTACTTCAAACAAGCATAAATTCATCTAATCTGATCCACAACAAATAATAAATAGACAAAGCAGTCAGGCATGCAAGAGGTGTCCAACTTTCAAGCACTGTGCAAGTGGTTAAGATGCTGACCTTGCTCATGTCTCTCTCTCTCATAATGAGTGTGCCTGATGCTGCTGGGTTGTAGGAATTTTTCACGCGTACTGGAATGTCGGCATCTCGGGCGGGCCGCATTGCCTGTGGGTGAAGGACCTGCAGTGGGAAATAGAAGGCATACGGAGAGAGAGGGTGAACACAACTGCTAATGGGGTCCAACTTCCAGCTTTTTAAACCAAAAGCATGCCACACTAGTATCAGCACCCGCAAGCATGTGATGTTTCGACATAAAATCAACCCCTTGCAAATGAGCAGCATCTCGGGCAGGCCGCATTGCCTATGGGCGAAGGACCTGCGGCGGGAGTATCAAGGCATACAGAGAGGGTGAACGTAATGGCTAATGGGTTCAAACTTCCAAGTTCTAGCTTTGTTGAGGAAAAGCATACCACTTCAGCAAGCTCATGCTGAATGGTACACAGCACTACACACATGTAACCATTAATAAACAGGCCACAAGTTCGATTCCTGACGTAATCAGCTACATACAATAATTTAGGGGCTACCCCTTTTCTCTTTTTGAAAAAAAAAAAAAAAAGGGTAAAAAAAAACCTAAGAAAACGAACCAAAAAAAAGTGAGAGAGTAAATGGAGCCCAACAGAGAGAACTCACTGACTCGAGACACTGAAGTGACTGAAGTCACGGAGCCGGTTTCTGCCGGACAATCCTCACGGAAGTTTCAAAAAGCTGCCGTCAGGCACAAGTGAAATAGGTTCACGTCAATAGCTTCCATACACCTTTCCCTACAATGCATGAGCGAATTCATATCGATGAATATCGTGCGCCACCACCTACAGCTTCATACTGATCTGTTGAGCTCAGCGTTGGGAGCAAGTTCAACCCCCTTTCCCCCCCTCCTCCCCCCCTCCTACTGGTTGTGAAGACAATGCAGTTTCCATGAGGATGAATCAAAACCAGCCTGCAATGCACCAGCAGCAGTTTTAAGGTGGAGACATAGGATGGGGACTAGTCGGCTCCAGATTGAAGGATATATACCTGTGCACCAAAATAGGCCAGCTCTGCAGCTTCATCAAACGTCAGGTAGGGAACAGGCAGAGCCTTCTTTGAGACAAGGTGCGGATCAGCTGTCAAAACACCATCAACATCCTTCCAGACCTGCAGAACACAATACGAAAAGCAAGATTATCACCAGTCAAATGTCAAATTGCCAGTCAGTCTCATGAAGACATTATTTATCACAATGCACACACAAACACACACACACACACGCACACACACACACACACACAATACACGACACACACAACGGCCTTGCTAAGCTCTATGTTCAGGCGGATCGATGCAGCTAGGGTTGGGACAATACTCGCGGTCATGCCAATGGGTGTCCACGGCTGAGCGGGTGTGTAGACTCTGTAGAGTAGGTGTAAATTTATGACTGTGTCAGATTAGTTTCTCAGACTTACTGCCATTCTTGTCAGGGGTTTGAACCGGCAGTCTGCTAGGATTGCAAGGTTGGTGTGAGTAGAGTCTACCACTTTTCTTTTTCGGGGGTGGGTAGCGCTAACTCTGGGCGATGTGGTGCGTCCTTGTCCATCAGTCAAATGTGTCCTGGGCAGACTGCCGCGGTTCAACGTCCTGATGAGTCGGTGAAAGTTCAGTCTGGCACAGTCATGCCTTCTTTTGAGTGTATACACATGTATAGTGAATATGACAACACACACACACACACACACACACACGCAAACAAGGAAAAACTCCGATTATCAAAGTAGAAATGTACTGTATAAAGGGCAGCGATTGTCAGCAATCTGCTGCATCATGCAGCATATGGAAACTGTTGCCAACCAAGGAATAAAAAACCTGGGGTCTATTAAACCACCGGTACCTCGCCCGGCGAACTTCAGAATTCAGAATGCAACATTCCGCGTTCTTCACGGGTTTGGGCAGGATCAGCCTGGTTGACCTCTTTGGCTGGCAGCCTAGCCAAAACGAAAACCAAACTACGTCGTAGGCATGCCAGTTCCTTTCGTTTTTGGCACGCAGAAGAAATCCACGTGGGCAAAAAGAGCCTCAGAGGTAGTGGTGCATCAAGGCACTAGAGTACATAACAAATTGCCAAATCTATAATGCGAATGACAACAGTTCAGTCCTGAACAAGACGGAAAAAGCATGGAGGGAGACGAACAAGTCAACGACGAGGGATGTTTTTCACAAGGAATTACCCCCATGCGCCACTGTTTGTGGTCCAGTGTGAAAGAAATGGGTGCATGGCACAGAAAATAATAATAATAATAATAATAAATCAGAAAAGATAGCCATGCGCCACTGTTTGTGGTCCAGTGTGAAAGAAATGGGTATTCCAGTGTGAAAGAAAGGGGTGCATGGCACAGAAAATAATAATAATAATAATAAATCAGAAAAAAAAAACAAAAAAAAAAACAAAAAAAAAAAAACATTTGCTTTCGACTTCTGTGACTTCGAAGTTCAAAGAATACAATTTGAGGAAGTATTTCGTCCAGACTCCAAAGTTCCCTCCAAACGTATCTCAAAATAATGTTAACATCACATCGATTCACAATTGCACATATTTCTATTTTACTTTTTCCTTTAAATTTTAAAAACTTTAAATGCATTTTTTTTACTGCTGCACAATGCATGTGTGGTGCCACAGTGTGCCACATGTACGCAGATGTATGGACAGCATAAGCTTGTGAGTATGAACTACATGCAGCATAGTACAGAAGTCTATACTACCAGTTCACAGAAGCCTCAATTGACGAAGCTACCTTCCAAGGCCCGCAAGCCTAACTCTTTTTTTTTCATGGCCGACCTAGCTTCTTTTTTCCTTAGTGCCTTCCGCGTTCACTACTGGCCAAGGCCCACAGCATGATCGCCTTACTGTGTGAACCGCTACAGTTAGCCTGAAGCTAAGCACAACTTAGCTTCAGGCGAACTGGTTTTATAAGAAGAAAAAAACTGGGACAGATAGAGAGTTCCTCACAGAAATGTTGGATAAGCGCGTACTTGCACGTACTTGCTGACTGTATCCGATCACACCTACGGCGAGTCAAAAACAGAATGACTCGAGTGTGATCATGCTCTGAGCCAACAACACACAAAGTTCGATATCAGTACACAAAATTCGATATCGGTGCACACTCTTTCCCACAATGCTTTCTTTAAATTCTTTACTTTTACTGTGGCTGTGAGGGAAACAGACATGCATGTCTTTTTTACAAGCGACCATCCTCCTCATTCTATGACGATTCTAAAATTTGAACTTCTACTCACGTTTTCTTTTTTTTTTTCCCTGCAGTAATGCAGACTCATTAACTTAACCCTCCTCCCCCATCCATCCTCCCCCCCTCCATTCCCATTCGCCCCCTCTCCTGACGCACAGTCCATCAGGAATTGTGAAGAAAATTGCATATAGGTACTCAGAGCATGGAAACCGCCAGTGAAAAGCAACAGAGTTGGGAATGAGAAACAGAGCCAAAAAAGAAAAAAGAAGAAACCGAGCCCCGAAGTTTGCCACACCTGGATTTCTTTCAGCCCGAGGGCCTTTCCTATGGCCGTGGCCGTCAGGTCACTACCTCCTCGTCCCAAAGTGGTAATGGCACCTGTTTTCGCACCCTGTCCAGATATGAAAAAAGAGAGGGTCCAACAACCAGTGCCAAAGGTTAGCAGTAATCTGCAACATGCTCCTCGAATTTCTCGAAACACATTTGTCAAGATTTATAATTTTATATATACCTATGACGAATACATAGAAGCAGCGGCAATCAGAATTGAACAAAGACAGGACAATAAGGCCTTTTTTTTTTTGGGGGGGGGGGGGGGGGGG